CAATTTCTGTAATTTACTATGAGTTTGCCTGCAAATCGAACCCAGGCTGATTGGTTTCTGTAGAGGTAGAGCCAGCTGTGCCCGCCCTTTTCCCTATCCGTTTCTCCAGTTAGTGCTGGAGGAATAGAGATGGGAGGGGGGGAATCCCTGCACAGAAACAACCCTAAAACATTTTTGGCTATAGATACATCTTAAATCCATTTTCATTTCAGATTGTATACTAAAAAATATGGAAAAATCCAAGATGGTGAATATTTATGCAAGCACTGTATAAGCTTTGGTTTTATAAGAACTAATATCTCTGTCCTCATATTAAATGAAGGATAAGTGTGTTGTAACCATTTGAGCCTTTGTTGGAGGGCAGATTTGCATTTCCATACAGGTCTATAAGAATGCAAAACCCACTTGAAGCAGGTCAAATGCCGGTCAGAACAAGGTCAATAGCAGGTCAAATGTACCTGTCAATGAATTCTGAATGATCTCAAAAATGTCTCAAAGTGATATCAAACTGATTCCATCAATGCAAGCCCAAAGCCCATCAACGCAGGCCCTTAATTGTTTTACTGCTGCACACAAGCATATTTATATTAAAGTAGCCCTCCCCTAAAGTGTTTCAAGTTTAAGTGGCATACAATCTGGTAAAATGCATCAATGCTTACTAATATAATAACAATTTATGTTACACATTCTAGCACTTGCCCCAATGCTCACCTTTTTGCAGAGCAGCTAGCCAGACTGACAGACGCAGCAGGTAAACTGAAATGATCAAGCACATTCATTTTTTTTTTCATTTTTCTGAGAAGTTGCGGTATGTTCCACAGAGAAGGAGTCTTTCATTGATTTCAATCCTCGGCAGGGATCCGGAAGGAGAAATGAAGATTACAGCAAATACTGAAAGCACGTTATATTAGAACATTCTCTGATGTGCAGAAATAAACAAAACTGCTGCATGTGACATGTATCACAACAAAAGAGGGTTACATAAAAAGCAGATCTATGAAATGTATGTGTGATTCAAGTGGGTGGACAGTATCAAAATTACTGTTTTACCAATATGTGTAACATCTGTGAAGGGGGGACCTAGTTTCATGGCATATTAACATAGTAGCTAAGGTTGAATAAAGACGCAGGTTCAACGAGTTCAACCTATGTACTGTATATGTGTGTGTATCTGGATATACTTGACTCTAGTAGTTCCACATAGTAGTTCATATCCTTGTATATTTAGTGAACTAAGAAACTCACTCATCTAAAAGTTTCTTGAATGTATCTATGCTATCAGTGCATACTACTGACTGTGAAAGGGAATTCCACATTTTTACTACTCTCACAGTACAAAAAACCCTTGCGCAGTCTAAGATTAAACCGCCTCTCTTCTGACAATACAGTCGCAATTAGGTCGCAATTAGGTCACCCTTTTTTCTAAGGAGAACAAGTTTAATCTCTGGAGGCGAGCTTCATAGCTCAGGCCTTCCATCCCCTTTATTAATTTTGTAGCCGTTCTCTGAACTCTCTCAAGTTCGGGGACGTATTTCCTGGGGGTTGTGACCAAAACTGTACCGCATACTCAAGGTGAGGAACAATCAATGATTTATAAAGTGGTAAGATTATGTTTTTATTTCTTGCCAAAATCCCTCTTTTAATGCAGGATAGTGTCTTATTTGCTTTGCTGGCCGCTGTTTGAGGACCCCCAGGTCTTTCTCCATGCCCAACTTCCCCCAAGGAACACCCCCTAAGTAGTAGTTTGCATGCACGTTCTTGGCTCCCATGTGCATAACCTTGCATTTTGCAATAGTAATCGCATTTGCCATCTTCCAGCCCACTCCTCAATTTTTGGTCCGGTTGAAGTGAATTTATTTCTTCTTGAGAATTTACTGCTCTACACAGTTTCATATCAACTGCAAACATCAATGTATTCTAATCTCAATGTCATTTATGAATAAGATAAACAGAATCAGTCCCAAGAGTAAACCCTGGGGCACCCCACTCACAACTTTTGCCCAATTAGAAAATGAACCATTTATCACTACCCTCTGGATCCGTTCATGCAGCCAGTTTTCCACCATTGTACATACAATTTCATCAGAACCGATAGACCTTAGTTTGTGAATTAAACATTTGTGGAGTAGTGTATCAAGTGCTTTAGCAAAGTCAAGATACACCACGTCTACTGGTATTCCTTTGTCTACATTAATATTGACTTCCTCATAGAATGTTAATAGTTTGGTCTGATAAGAATGGCCCTACATGAAGCCATGTTGGTTGCTACTTATTATATTATTTTCACGAGGTGACCAGAACAGTGTGTCCAGGGAATTCTTTATGTAAGGGGAACAGACTGACATTATCCCTGAACAGATACCTTCTGGATGTATGGTTTACAGACTCCATAACTTTAAAAACAGCTCTGGGGCATAGGCATGTAAACAATAGGATTTGTGTACATACCCATACATCTGCAGCTTCAGCCTACCTGTCATTGATTTATACAGGCTGGCTGAATGCAGCTGTGTGGTATACCTGTGATTCCCAGGAATATACAAATGCCTGATCTGTATTCTGTCCGGCCATTTCCAGCTGTGTGCATGAGGCCTTAATGTATTAAAAAGGAATGGAGGCTCACACAGTACTTGCAAGTAAATTATACATTTTCGCCATACTTTTTGCCCTAGCACACCACCAACAGACTAAAGGGGGCTGCTCACAGACACATCTTCACACAGCCCCTCCAAGCAGTATGCAGAACCCTTTTACCTATTTTCCAGCCCAAGGATTGGTTGGGAAAAGTTGGATTCATGCAACCAGCAACTGTTTAACATGTTCACCAACCAGATTAGGCCACTGGACATCTTCGGAATAACCTAAAGACATCAGGGTTGATTTACTAAATGAGTAGAGGCTGCGTGCTTAGAAATGTAAATGTTCACTTTGGAAAATGTCTGTTTGCTTTGCACAGTAAATTAAATTAAATAAGGTGAACCTGTGTTCACTTTGAATACCCTATCATGTGTGAGAGGAATTGGTTGATTAAATGAAGTAAATGCAGCTTCATCTCAATGACCATAAGTTCAGTGACCATTCATTTGAGAAGTGAACAACAGCTATTCACTTAGTTAATTAGAACAATCCTGTCCTGTCACAAGCACTTAAACACTATTGTAATTCTTGGAACAATTGTTTTTCTTTTTTTATTTTATTTTATTTAGGGCTCCCGGTAGATTACCCCTCTTTATATGTCCTTGTCCAGCTTAGGCTAAATGTGGGTTTGGGGTAACAGTGTAAGGAGGCAATTTTTAATTTAAGAGACCCTGTCAAGGGGTAACAAAATTCCAATGGCAGTAACCTGTGAAGAAAGCAGCATTATTTGTACCTTTCCAGCAGCCTATTTGCTTAACCACTTCAAGACCAGGTGTTTAGACCCCCTTCCTGGCCAGGCCATTTTTCAGTGTTCAGCGCTGCAGTCCTTTGACTGACGTTTATTCCGTCATGCAACGCTGTACTGAAATGAATTAATAGTAGAAAAACGGAGGCAGTTAAACTTGCTCTGTAGCAGTGCTCCTGGCCAAAGCCTTCATGTTACTGCTGTGTCCTGAAGTGACCAAGGGTCAGCAGAAGGAACCACAGCAGCCAGCATGGGATTTACTATTCCACCAACTTGAGAAGATCTGATACAGAGTGAAACTTCAACAAAAGGGCATTTTACTTACCGGACAGGTAAGTAAAATGCACCTTTGTCATTGTAATTTGGTTAACCCCCTGACAGGATCACTTTAGAGAACTAGGCCCCCTGTTTCAATATTTTTTTTTTTTTAAACCCTCTTACATTTTTTTCATGGATTATTCTCAATAAACATACTCACACGCCCAGCAAATTCAGCATTGTCCTGCTGTAATATGCCGCACCACTGTTGCACACCAGGTTCTGAAACTGTCTCTTCCTGCTTCTTGCAGTTGGTTACCTGATGACATGGCACATGGACAATGTGTTGTAGATTTCCTCCAAGCCTTCAGGAGGGGGAAAGAAACAATAATTTTGAAAGTAGAAAAAGGAGGTAAAGTGTTCTTTTAATGGCCATGAGGTGACCTAGTCCCAGATTGCCTCTGAAGGGAGTTGCCCCCAACAAGATTAACACCTTGCTTCCTAACAGAAAGAACCATGGCTGAATGAGAACTGTTCCAGAAAAGGCTTGGACTCTGTGAATGTGTATGTCTCATGTAGTCCCCATTCAGAGTAATAACATATGCATAAGCATGTACAAAATGTTAAATATTCATCATATTTCAATATTTTAAATGATTTATATGCTTGAGTCATTTATTTGATTCTGTTGTCGTTTGCAGGGCTTTACTGGTAAGAAAAAAAATTCCTTGGAACCAGCAACTATATTATTGGTAGAAATGGTTATAGTGCATTAAAGAATATATTCACACTAGTGTTTCATATGTACCATGTACATTAAAACTGCAATCACTGCAGATTGAGCCACAGTGAAAACTAAAAGTATGCATCACTTTGTCACTTTAAACATCAGTGCACACTAATAACTTTCCCAAGATTTTGCAGACAATACATTCAACGAGCAGTCATGAAAAAGTCATTGTGTAGTGTACATTGGTTCTATCGGTTACAGTGTTCAGTAATCTCTATTTTATAGCACTTTCAACTACAGTGATCACAGCTTGAAATGAACATACCATGTGCACTAAACAAGTGTCTGTGCGTGTGAATCCTAAGATGTCTTTATGCAAGCTTCAAAGAGACTTACAAGTGAAATTCTTTCAGATTTCTCTCTGTAGTCTTCAAACACATGGTAACACACCTGCCAATGTCATCATTATTTTTTCTCTGCAAACTTGAAACTTTTGGCATACGACACTTGTTTAAAAAGCAAGTTGGCTGTAAAAAAAAAAGCTATGTGTGCATGTTGAGATCCAATGTTATCCTTAAATGTTAACGTTAAAGGAGACAAAAAGGAAACCATTTCGCCTTTCTTCTCTAGGTCTGGTCTTTCATTACCGAGCAGCAAGCAATCGTTACGCGCTGACTTTCCCTGATGCTGTGCGATCCTGTAAGGAGAACTCTGGTATCATTGCATCTCCAGAGCAGCTGCAGGCTGCGTTTGAGGATGGCTTGGACAACTGTGATGCAGGATGGCTGTCTGATCGAACTGTCAGGTGATTGGGGGATAACAGTTATGTTAATGGGTTTAAGTTATGTCCTCTTAAAAACTAAAGTCCAGGCAGATAAAATGGACATAAATGCAGCCATGTATTCATTAAAACATTATTAAATGTATTTCTAATGTAACTAATGTAAATGCCTGAATTTGAGATGGTATCACCGTCTTGCAATCCCCTGTACAACAGTGGTCAGACTGGGTGAGGGAGAGGCAGCATTAGGGTGCATGCGTACAAGGAGCAAGCTTACAGGAGGAGAAAGCAGAGTGAGTAGAAAGGTAACCTCAACAGTCTTCTACTGCACCTTTCAGCAAGCTAGGGGTGGAGAGATGACACTACCATATTTCTTAACTGTAACAGAGAAAGTGACCTCCCCCTGTTCTGTGTGCCATGGATGTGAAAATATCAGGGCTGAATAGGCAGAAATACAAATCCTTTATCAGGTAAAATAGCTCCCTTATATGCATGTAATTTCTGTACACAGATTTTTGTCAGGAGTTCACCTTTAGAACGTAGACATTTTACCATCCTACATTTTAACTATTTTTCAGAAATGATTGATGTAACTGTTTTTTTTTTTAAATCAAAAGGCTATCTAAGAAGTACTATAAGTTATTTAGATCATTTTCAAGTGCACAAAACTGATTTAATTTAATTAGGCCTATTCACTCATTTATTAAAAGGACAAATATTACATTTGATCCTTGAAAAGTTGCTAATATTAGGCTGATCATAGATTTTAAAATGATCCATACATTTGAAAAGAACCAAGGTAATTTATATCAGTACAGAGGGGAAGAGGTGAGTGTTGCAGACAGCTGCTCCAAAGCCCATTATCTTGGAGGAGAATAAAGGTGGCCATATACTCTACAACCATCGCAAGACTTTAGTCTTGCGATGGTTGTAAAGGGATTAAAAAAACGTACGATCTGCCTATCTTGGACAGGCAGATCGCACTCTCGATCATCGCAAGCCCGCCCCCCTGAGGGGCGGGCTTCCGATGAC